CTAGCTGGGGACACGGGGATCGTCTTCTTGCGCCCTCAGGCTTAGAGCGCCAGACATGGTAATGCCGACACCTTTTTTTTTTTTTTTTAAAGTGCAATGGGGCCTTTTTCCGCAGAGGTCCAGCCGGTTATTCGGCTTACACTGAAAACAGATCTCGTACGGATCTGGTACACACCTCACAGCCGACACCTTTAGGGTTTAGGGTTTAGGGGTTTAGGGGTTTCGGGGTTTAGGGGTTTTAGGGTTTAGGGTTTAGGACACCTCAAGCTTAAGAGCTCAAGGCCCCAAATTAGATTTTATCGGTAAAAACTGACGAAGCACATCCTACGAGGAAAAGCATCGCTTGCTTGACGACAGCAAAGAAGTCCACCTCAGAACAAAAGAGTCTCAGCCAGGAGCCCTCAATGTAGTCCTTGCAACTTGAGAGCGGTATAAGAGGTCCCAACGATTATAATGGGGTGTTGGCGTATGTTATAGTATACTTTCGTACCAGGGACGACTTGTCTTTTTCAGCACTCGCCCCATCCGAATCCGAGGCCCTTGCAGCATGCACCCCGTAGCGTTGCGCCATGTACATTTCAGGGCAGGCCTGCTCAGAGGATTGCGGGCGTTCGGTGGTTTAGGCCTTTAGAGGGTCCATGGGTTTAGGATTTCTAAAGGAGTCTAGGGGATAGGGTATTTACAAAAAGTTTAGGGATTTAGGGTTTAGGAGGGGTTTAGGGGCTCAGGGTTTTTAAGCCCTAGGTTTAGGGTTCGGGGTTTGGAGTTTGCAGATGTTTGCGGTTTAGGGGTGAAGTCTGTGGGGTAGTTATCGGGTTTAGGGTCAGCGCATAGCAGTGGATCTTACGGTGTAGGATTTCCGTCGAAGTGGGTCTGACGGAGTTCTCACTGCGGAAGTTTCGGGATGTGTAGAGTTTACCTGGAGTTGTCGATCGGGGAGTTGCCGATCCAAGACTATGACAACAGTATGGGTTTCTAACTCCTCTTTACAGAACCCTGCTGTCAACTCTACTTCTAAGTCCCTTGTTGCTTTCCAAGTCTTGGGAATTGAGCTTGTTTTCGGGCAGGCCAGTGGTCGGGTTTACCATTCGCATGCTGCTTGCTATGTTACTACCGAGATAGGGTCATAAGTTGCAATGGTGCAATCCTCATCATGAGGCCGCCTTACTCAAAAGTGTTGAAAACTTACCCTAAACCTTTTTCATGCCAAGTTTGAGGGTAGAGGGGCCGAAGCGAAGGGCGTCGGCAAAAGACTCCGGAACCGTCAGCCTGCTGGATGAACGACCAACCAGTAGCCCCTAGCCGCAAAGCCCGAAAGCCCCCAAACTTCCTTGCTGCTCTTCCGCAGATTCCTAACCCTAAGGGTCCATGTGCCCAAATAGTATATACTTTGGGCCCAATTTACCTATATAGGGAATACTGTAAGGCCAAAGTATATACTACTTGGGTACATGGACCCTTAGGGTAACAGCACCCCCACCGAGCCTTGCGTTCCGGGTTCGCATAGACATCGTTGATGACGCCTCAGAACTCGAGTCTTTGAGTCGGGGAGTGTATGGGATCTACCCTAAGGCCCCAAAGTAGTTCCTTTTTAAGGTTCATATATAGAATCCTGTAATCCCAAAAAGGAACTACTTTGGGGCCTATGGGTAGAGTTTACGGTTTGGGGCTGACGATTCGGCATTCCCGGCGATGACGGAGATAGTCCGGATGTAGTAGGATGCTTTAACCAGCAAAGTCGGTTCTATCTCTTCGATTTCGGGTGTTGGACGTATATTATGACGCTCCTTTGGTCAGAGCGGGAGCCGCAACCTGCTAAGCAGTATAGTCAATCCCGCAACAGCCCCACGTGTTGTTGCACAAGCAGCGAAACCCAAATGGGTGGCTGTCAAAATGATGATCCATTTCTGGGTCCCTATTATAATATGTCATCTTTTACTTAGGGTACCCAAAAAGGGACCGTAATTTTGACAACTACTCCAATAGACGCAGCTCCTGAAGACGGCCCAAGACCGTGAGACGGAGGAATCCAGTTCACATCAATCCAAGTCCCAATTGACTCAAGCGGAAGCCCCAAAAACAACCCATGCCAATGCAGCACCAGACATGCAATAGCGCGTTAGTTAGAGTTGCACACACGCACACAGACACACACAGACACACACAGACACACACACACACACACAGAGACACACACACATACACACTCACACACACACACACACACACTATAACTAGATAAGACAATTGTACTAAGGAAATTAATTAGTAGGATTCCTAAGTCCTTAAGAGTCATGTCATAAGGAGTCCCAGCACTATTTGGCCTTGATCCGGTTTACCTTCACCCCAGGCCCAGTTCTCCAGTCGGGAGGCCCATGGTCAGGGTGGATCGCGTTTTGTAGAACTGCCTCTCCCGCCTCGGAACTTTTAGGGTTTTAGGGATTATTAATATAGCGGCCTTAATCGTTAGAATGGGGTTTGGGGCCCATTATTCCATAATCATAATAAGGAACCCCCCAAAATAGTATTGGTAATTATTCAGGCCCCTATAGTAACGTTTAGGGTGTGGGGTAGGGGGGGGAGGGGCTAGGGAACTTCCAGCATTACAGAACTCTCGCCATACAGGGTTCAGGGAGCTTGTAGGACTGTGGGGCTTTACGACTGGAGGATTTCGGGGCTTAGGGTTCAGGGTTTGGGGTACTTGTAGCATTCTAGGAGACCCTACGAGTTCAGGGCTCATGGAAAAGATGATGCCCATAACTTGCGGTCTTGATTTCTGTGAATAGTACATACTTCCAGCCATGTGGGGGTGCTTAGGTAGGATTCAGGGTTTGTCTCTAGTTGGCGGCAGCTGTGTTTTCTTGCACTGGGGGTTTGGCTTAGGACAGGATTTTCGCTTCAGGGAGTTTGGAATTTTTCATTCCCCAACTCTGCTATCTGTTGTTGGTTTGACGGTCGTAACACTTGCTACGTCATGTCAATTTTCCGTTATCCATCTGGGCCTTGTTGCAAAGGTTTTTGCCACGTTCCGTGCGCTCGCGGCACCTCCGAGCTCGTCATCTGCACCCTGCTGAGCCAGTGCCGTGGAGATGACGTGCAGCGGGTTGTGGCTGTCTGATGCTAAAGTCATTAAAACCAGTGTGGAACAGCAGCTGGGAGTGCCAGGCCTTTCGCTAGATCTTGAAATGACCTACGGAATCTGCCCAGCGAGCAGATTTATGATCCGAAAGTGTCCACACTAGGGAGCCGTCACTTTTTGGCGCCCTTCATCGGCTTTCTTTGACCTCCTGCAGCATCGAGCCGGGGTTCATGTTCGTCTTTCGGCAATGACCCCGACTGCCACCATTTCCAACAAAACATGCAGATTCTCTTTCGCTTCCATCAAACTTCGTCCGAAGCCCCTTGTTTCGTCTGGCGCTGTCTGGTACTTTCAGGAGCAGCCTGACTTGCCGACCTTATCTCCTGTACATTCTGCGCAGAGGGCATTCCCTCGCCATTTACTGGGTTTGGTTAGAAGCACGAAGTCTGAATTCCAGGCATGTTTCATGCAGAACTTACCGTTTGGAGTGCAGGGCCACGGTGCGCGGCTTGAGGCTAATCGGGGCTTAGGGTCACGAGGTGCTGGAAGGCTCCAAGAGCTACAGCGCTGCTGTGGGCAGCTGACAACAAACATTTCAGTAAATCCTAAGCAAGGGCCTCAAAAGTTGGAATAGCGTTTTGAGATAAATGGAACTCTAAATATAATTTAAGGAACCCCAGAAATACGAATGGTAATTGCTTGCTTAGGCCCCCTATACTAAACCCGTATCCAAGACCCTTTGCCCTGAAACCCTGCACCAAAACCCCTGCGACTGCAACCCCGCAACCCTGAACTCAAAACTCCAGGACGCGGGCCTCACAAGCCCTAACCTTCTTAACCCGCCAAGAAGCTGCCTCATGCCCCAGATATCGAAATATCCGCCACCATAGCCCTCAAGCCCTCCCGGCCCAGAAAGAAATCAAACTTCCCTAGACCCCAATACTGCAGGACTGTCCTTTTGAGGAAAGGGGCAGGGCCCAGCACACTATCCCTAGTCTTTCGAACAGCTTGCCTGGAAGAATACACTTGAAACGATCTCGACCTGTAAAGAAGCGACCCGGAAGCCCCTCAAGCCCTCAACTCCAGGAAATCCTAGACACACTGACCTGCTATCAAACCTGTTTGTAACCTGGTCGAGGCCTTGTAGAACCCTCTGAGGAAAACCTGAGCACCCGAAACCCTAAACCCTATACCCGAAACCCTAAACCCCAAACCCGAAACCCGAAACCCCAAACCCGAAACCCGAAACCCTAAACCCGAAACCCTAAACCCGAAACTCTAAACCCCAAACCCAGCCCTGTGTCCGGGATCCCCCGACGGATCTGGCCGAACGGGTCGCCCGGTCTCAGGATCCACCTGAGACAGCCCTACACCAACTCTGGCTGGCTTAGGGGTACAGCGTTTAGGAGTTCTGGCTTTCGGGTTTCTTTTGTAAGTGTCGCCCCTCGAAATTTCTGAAAAGGGTGAACTCTCGACTCTCAATTCGTCGCATGGGCTGCCTCGATCTCAGCGATGTGGGAGTCTCCGAAAATAGGGGGCCCCAATATAGTACCCTAAATAGTCGGATCCTTATTATAAGGACCCACAAGTTTGGTACCCCTAATTATGGCCCTAATTTTCGGAAACTCTAAACCCTATGGAACCCTGTTGAGTTCCCGAACTGTGTTCTGTGTACGGTTTGGTTGAAGCTCCATGTCCTTTGAATTAAGCCATGACGGCTCGACTTAGGACTGAGTCCAAGTATATGCATGAGCATAGCTAAACGCAGATGAAGAATGTAGCAACGCCCAAAGGGTAGAGCGCACTTTGACTGTCGTTTGAGCGAAGTAAAAACAGGCTGTAAGCCCATGGTCGCATGTGCCTCTGAGCGGGATCGTTGAGACCCCTTGGAACTATCAGAAGATCTACCATGGCATCCTCTATGGACAATCCCAATTCGCAAGATCGACCAAGTGTCGATCAACAGGTTATGGTTAGCCCAAATGCTGCCGATGTGACTCCGAACGAGATCCCGCCCGCCGGACGGTTTCCAGATGGGCCTGCTCCGGGTTTGATGAATGGTGTGGATCGCCCCGTAAGGGGACCTCATGACATGGATGGAGAAACAGTGAGTGGAACTGTCCTTGATGATCACGGAGCACAGTCTACTGAAGCTGCTGCAAGGATGAACCCCCGCACAGTTGGGGATTTCCTTGAGGGTCCTGGAAGGACAGCTGGCACGAGTGGTGGACTGTTGAGTGGTTTGGCGAGGGTCGTTCAGGCGATTCCAGCTGCGGTGGAGAGCGTAGTGCCGAGTGTGGCGCCCAAGGCCACGGGAGCAACTGGAAGAATGGTTTCTCCAAGTAGTCATGATGCTGTTGAGTATGCGTCGGTGAGGTCGTCGTGGAGTGCTGATCCAAGACCACCCCAGCCTACGCAACTGCCGGCGACCCCTTTGCTTACGGAGTCAATGGTTGCGCGGATGAGAGAACTGGAAAGGGCGGCCCCGCTGTTGTATCCAAGGGCGGATCCGGCACCGTATTCGGTTCAGCATCCACCTTCGTCAGCTTCGAGCGACATTCAGGCGGAAGTTCGAAGGCAACTTTCTGAGCTGATGGCGATCAGGGACGAAGAAGGCCGGAGACTGCGAGCTCAAGTGGAAGCGCTGGCTGTAGAGAACAGTGAGCTTAGAGGTAGGCTTGTGGAAGATGTACAGGGTAGAAACCAGTTTCATCATGCAGAGACCGTGGTACCAGGTTTCCCCGGCTTGAGTTGGATAGGTCGAGGCTTGGGAAATCTTATGAGTTCTACTAGGGGTTTTGATTTGAGGTGTACTGAAGCCAGGATCCAACCTCCTGAGTCTACTCTACGTCCTCCCCGACTCCTTGGATTTGGGAGATCACCGCAACCCCTGGAATCGGGAATGATGGACCATCTGGATGGTGATGCTAGGAGGATGATGCCACCGGAGGTGATGATGAATGCAGTAGGGCAGGTCTCATTTGCCGCTAGTGCGCCAGGTCAGGTGCCTTGCTCTGCAGGTCCAGGTCAGGTGCCTTGCTCCGCAAGCCCAGGTCAGGTTCCATGCTCCGCAGGTCCAGGTCAGGTCCCATGCTCTGCAAGCCCAGGTCAGGTGCCATGCTCCGCAGGTCCAGGTCAGGTCCCATGCTCTGCAGGTCCAGGTCAGGTGCCTTGCTCCGCAAGCCCAGGTCAGGTGCCATGCTCCGCAGGTCCAGGTCAGGTCCCATGCTCTGCAAGCCCAGGTCAGGTGCCTTGCTCCGCAAGCCCAGGTCAGGTTCCATGCTCCGCAGGTCCAGGTCAGGTCCCATGCTCTGCAAGCCCAGGTCAGGTGCCATGCTCCGCAGGTCCAGGTCAGGTCCCATGCTCTGCAAGCCCAGGTCAGGTGCCATGCTCTGCAAGCCCAGGTCAGGTCCCATGCAACGCAGGTCCAGGTCAAGTGCCATGCTCTGTCGGTCCAGGTCAGGTCCCGTGCAACGCAGGTCCAGGTCAGGTGCCAAGCAATGCCAAGGTTCCGGCTCCGGGTCATACGCCTTATACCACAAGCTTGCCAGGCCTAGGTCAAAGGCAGGTACCAGGTGAACCTCCTCTACAGGGTGTTGGTTCTACCACTAATGCTACCCAGGATAATGGGGGTGGGCCGAGCTTAGATCCCCTGAGCGTTGTGCTTACGGGTATGGCTCAGCTACAAGGAATAGTGACCGAGATAGCCGCCTCCCCTAAAGGAACCCAACGTGCTGAGGTAATAAAGCCGGGAGTCTTAACTCTCCCGGCCTTGCCCGAGCTGAGTCAGGATTCGTGCCTCTTGTTTTCCGATTGGCTGCATAACGTCCGTCCTGCTTTGGCCGATGTGAGTGACAACTCAGAAGAACTTTGGACCTTAGTGATAACAGAGGCGACGTCATGGTATGGGTCGTATCTTAAGCTAGACCCGTTAGGCCGCCTAACTCACAAGCCAACTCCCTCTGAAGAGCTGAGCCAGGTGCGTTGGCAGAGAGTTTCCCGACGCATGGAAACGATGATTTTGGCGTCTACCCCAGCCGGGGTCCGCGACGAAGTCAGTTCAGCCAGGATTTCGGGACTTCTTCCACTTATTTGCAAGTTGTTTGTGATTTACGGGCCTGGCTCGTTGACAGAACGTGAACTAGGCCTCAAGAGTATCCAGGACCCCCCCGCCGGGGTCGGGATAGCAGACACAATAGAGTTGCTACGCAAGTGGAAGCGGTGGTGCTCCCGCATGACAGAACTAGGGGGAACATTACCGGACTGTGCACTGCAAGTTAAAGCGATTACCCGCATATCCAAGGCGGCCTTGCAGTCGAACCCAGAGGTGAGCTTCCGTGTAAGTTTGAGTAGGGCGTCCTTGCATGTGGACATGAATCCTGATGAAGATAAAGTGATGAAGTTGCATGCACAGATCCTGAGTGAGCTAGAAGCCATAAACCATAGAGGGGTGAAGGATAAAGATGCCGACAAGGAAAAGGATCGCGCTAAGGAGGCAGCAGCGCAGGCTAAGGTGAAGGGCGTTGAGTCTCAGCAACCCAATCCTGCACCGCCACCGAAGGGTCCTAAGGTTAAAACTAATCCTAAGTCGGTTCCTAATCCCAACAAGATCCAGAACCCTGATGGTTCTCCTTCAGCGAAGACCCCATGTACCTTTTTTGTTCAGAATAATGGATGTAAAAAGGGCTTGGACTGCAAGTTCGAGCACAACTGGGGTTCATTCTCCAAGGAGGAGAAAGCCGCAAGATGCAAGAACTGCGGCAGCAAGCATCATAAGGTTGCTGATTGCAAAGCGGGTGCGCGGGAGAGCGCCGGTTCGCCCCCGTCGAAGGCTCCTCCAAAGGGACCACCACCACCCCGCACCGCTCAGGATGTGAACTCAGCCTCTGACCGTGCCGCGTCTCAGCAGCATATTAAGTCCATGTTAGCAGATGCTGCGAGGATCCTCCAACAAACCGTTCCGGAGGCATCCGAGGCCCCAAGGTCAGGTCAACCCGCGGTCCCGGCGGTGCCCATTAGTGCACCCACACAGGGATCAGGTTCCACCGCTGGAGGCGTGACCCAGCCTATTCAGGGCACGCCAGTTACGTTGGCATCTTTGAGCGCGCAACTGGAGACCCTCCGTGGTCTCGCCGCTAATCCCGAGATAAGGGGATTGACGGTTGAAGATGCTGGTTCGGGCCGTAATAGTTCGGTCACTCTTGAGAGTCTGAAAAGGCAGCTTAAGGAGGTTAGAGATTGGGTTGACCTGAGGGCACCAAAGGTTGGAATGATGGCAGATTCCTCCAACCTAGACCAAAGGCTGGTTAAGGCACTGGCTCTGTTGGACTCAGGCGCAACTCATGCGGTTATCCCTTATGATCGCTCCTTAGGTGCACTTGAAAGTGTACCGGTAACGTTGGCGGGTGATGAGCGCCAGCAGTGGCTTAAAACACAGGGAGGCACCCTTGTGGTTCCACCAGATGAGAAAAATGAAAAGGGAGCTTCCAAGCCTCAGACAATACTCCCTCTCGGCTCACTTGTCGAAACATTAGGTTGCACTGTGTCGTGGTCTCGCCGGAAGGGATTGAAGGTCACACATCCCACCCTAGGTTTGCTTAACACCGGTTTGTCTGCAAGCAATTGTCCAGTGGTGCATGAGGATCAGGCGTTGAAAATGATTGCCGAGCTTGAAACCAAAAGGTTGGAGGCATTCCAGGAGAGTGTGCAAGACCTTGAGTGCCAGATTGAGCACTTGCAAGCGGAACCTGATCCTACCCACCTCTTGCGCAAATTTGTTGAGACCGGAGACCGGGGCGATTTGTTGCAGGCGTTGATGGCACAACCGTACTTGTCCGAAGTTCCGGCTTCAGTAAAGGCGTGGATGGCCGAAGGTATAGGTTCCACCGATGCCAGCAGCGGACGCAGTTTGTTGAAGGCCTTACCGTTGAGGAGGTCAGCTCGACGAGCACTGCTCCAGTCGGATAGGTGGTTTGTGCACCTGTGTGCCGGAGCCCCGAAGCAGGAGGATCCAATTTCTGAATGGTGTGCCGAAAGAGGTTTGATTCCTTTGACAGTTGACCTTCGTGAAAAGGGAGGTAAGGGATGGGACTTGACAAGGAGAAATGGCGTGTGGCGCTTGCTTCTATGGGCGGCCGCTGCAGGAAAGATCGCCTGCCTTTTCTCGTCTCCACCTCTAAAGGCTGACCCTGCGAAGGAGGTTCTCAGGTATCAAGATCGGGTGTTATGGTCCTTGGCATCGGTTGCGAATGGCAAAGGGATCCCGTTTGTGAGTGAGGTGTCGGGCATCAAGGATGCTTCTGTCGAAAGGTTTGTGCAATGGTCTGGCTCAGAGTTGGTGGCCTTTTATCAAGGTGCCCTAGGAGCGTTGCACGCGAGACCTACGCGAATCATCACCAATTTGCCGCTGAATTTCCTTCAACACTTGCCTATCAAGGGCTCCACTGACTCTCCAAGGGAAGGACCGGTTTGGACAGTTGAATTTCGTAGGGAGCTTGTGAGTGCCTTAAATGGTATCCCTGCTGGTGCTACCTGCGAGAGGCTTGATGATATGATCCGTGCGGCAAGGCCTTCCACTCATGAGGTTGATCGGGCACAAAAGACTGCTGAGTTGGAGGAGGAAAGACTTAACTGTATGTTTGAGGCTGAGAGTGTGCTCTCCTCTTCAGACGAAGACGAAGAATCTCCGATCACCGAAGACGGCTGTCAAGAGGAGGAGGAGATCCCACAGGTGCGTGAGGTGAAGGAACTATCTAGGGCCGAACTTGAGCGCTGGAGGAGTCATGTGATGAACGGACATGTTCCGTACCGCAAGGATTGCCGGCAATGCGTTGAGGGTTCGGGTTTAGGTCCTTTTCATTCGAAAGTAAAGCACCCTAGATCATACGCCTTGTCCATAGACCTTTTTGGTCCGGTTCCAGCTACCGAAGCGGGTAGAGATGAGTCCTGTGTTACTGGAAAGTGCCTCATGAGATACGGGCTTATCGGGGCGTTTAGAATACCTAAGACGGTTTTAACCTCGCCGCCAAAGGCTAATGGAGTTGATGATCTGTTCGGTAGGCCGGCTCAGGAGGAGGTTGTCCTTCCTGATGATGCAAAGGATAGCTTGTACGAACCGTCTGAGCCTGGGGAAGACTTATTTCCAGAGCTAGCGGTTGAGGCTGACCCTCCTTTGCCACCTCCAAAGGATCCCCCGAGCGCTTTTGCCATAGAGGTTGAATCTTTAGAACTCGATCCTGAGGAGCCGAAACTTGATGATGATGCCTTAAAAGAGCTGGTGCAAGAGTTGTCAGAGCCAACTGAGCAAGTGGTGCTGAGATTCTTCCTTCCGCTAAGAACAAAGGCTGGTCCTGAGGTTACGGAAGCGGTCCAGCGCTTGATACTTCACATCGGGCGTGATTACCCCGTGCGAAGTGTTCACCATGATCCAGGCACCGAGTTTTCCACTACTGTCCTCGCCAGATGGTTAGCTGAAAAGGGGGTGAGGGTTTCTCATTCCCTACCGACTGATAAGAAAGCTAATGGCTTGGCCGAAAGGACAGTTGGATGGTTCAAGTCAAGAATGCGCACGTTGTTGCGTGGTGCCAGGTTACCTACGCAGTGGTGGCCTCTAGCCGGAAGATGGGCTGCTCACAAGCACAATTGTGACGTGCTGCAAGTTCAGGGACCTCCGTCCTTTGGACAGCAAGTTCTCCACCGGATCAAAAGGCCAGCGGATGGTGCAAAGCCCCTTATGGAAAGGTGGATTGAAGCTAGATATGCATGTCCACACCGATCAATCACAGATGGACACGTTTTGATCACCGGAGCAGGGAGCCTGGTTGCATCAAAAGGGTTCAAGGTCGGTTTGCTTGACCCAACTGAATTAGAAGGTCTAAGTCTCCCTATACTTCAGGAGGAGGATACGGCAAGCGACCCAGTTGCAGCACATGCTGGCGACTCTGGTGTTAAGGTAAAGCCCCCAGAAAAAAGGGTTAGAGGTAAGTCCAGGGTAAGCTTCGTTGATGCTTCTCAGCACGGTGAGGATGCTGAGGCGTTAGCGTCGCAGTATCTCTTGGATGATGATGTGTCAAACTCTGCCTTCAGAAGGATTGTTGAGGCCTTGGCGAAATCAGAACCCTCCTCCGGAGACCGAAGGGAAGGTGTGGATGAGAAGTATGTGCTTGGAGCCTTTTGTCATGGTGGCCAACGAGGAGCAACGAAACTGTGCAAACGTAGGCCCTTAACCACAAGGTTCCTTAACCACTTCCTCCGGCGTAGGGCAGAGGTATCACATTCCCAAGGACCCACCGAGTGGTCAGCGTTGATGATTATGAAAGCTACTGAGGTTCAGCAGCATAAGGATGTGCGAAATGAATGGGGTTCTAGGAATTTCTTACTTTGCGTTCCAGGAGAGTTTGAGCTTCACACGACTGAACAGCATTGCCTCACGGATCGGGTTGTAAGCTTTGACCCGAGAATAATGCATTCTGTGAGCCGCACTCAGGATTGGTTTCTTGTGGGGTATACTCCTTTGGGAACGAGTAAGATTGATCCTCAGGTTAAATCCTTCCTGAAGCAGGTTGGTTTTCGATTTGAGACTAATGGGGAACTTGAACCGCGCATATCTGCAGTTAGAGCGGACTTTGAGGAGGAGGAAGAACCTGAGGATGAGTTCCAGGAACCGTCATCGTCGTCGCAACATGCTTTACTCGTGGATGTTGGTCCCGAGTCTGGGCTTGAGGAGGATGAGCAGATTGACTCAATAACTCCTTTGGTCGGATGGGATTTTGCTACTCCCGGCGCATTGAATGCACCAGCGCCGAATCTCGAAGAGACAGATTTGTATCAGTTTTTGGACGACCGGGGAGTCGCAAGGTTGTATAGGCAACTGATGGCGTTGGGTGTTGAAGTTGCTAGTGATTTATCCTTCCTGTATACTGAGGATCTTGTTGAAAATGGGATACCGTTTGAGGATGCCAGAAGGATTATGCAAGGCATTCATCCCACCGGTACTGTGAGGCCGGACAATCCGAATTTATGCTCCCTCACTACGGGTGAGGTGCAGCTCCTTGATCGTCAGCACAGGAAGTTACCTTGGATCTTTCAGAATAGGACCTTGGGATCACATTCCCCTGCTCCACCATTGAGGGGAATAGGAGTAAGGGGTTACGAGAATGAGGACAGACCAAGGGAGGAGGATTGGATCGTGAGTGAGGAAAGACTTAGGAATGAGGAGCGGTGGATTGGTTATACCCAGCAACAGTCTAATTCCTCAAGTAGCTCGCAGGCCTTCGGCAGCAGTCATGAACCCAGCGCGAGTTCCTCCGATCCTGTCAACCCATTCCCTAGGGAGGACGGCATACCTACCGGTGGATGCCAAAGTAGTCTGCCATCCCTTGACGAGGTCTATGCGTTTCATTCAATGTACATGCAGGCTTTGTGGGATGAGGAGGAGGACGTTCTCCCTCCTGGATACCCATTGGAGGCTTTGTATCCTTCCCAAGGATCACCACCACCACAAGAGGAGAGTAGTGCCAGTGAAGGTGAGGTCAGTGTTCCAGTAGATGAGCATGCGTGTAGAATGGTGGTGAGCGAGGATTCCGTCAATCCGGGTGATGGTAGATGGTTGGAGCCACAGATTGAGTCCCAGACTTTAGGTGACCATAGTGAAGGACCCCGGATCGGAGTTAGTACCAACGATCCGTTATCCGTCATAAGCCCCAACCGTAGGCTGGCAGATTCCGGCGCTCAAGTCCTGAAGGTTGATGAGTCCTTTTACACCAAGGAAGTTGAAGAACTTCTTGCAGGGCTCACCGAAGGTCTCAAGGTTGTTCACAATGTATCTCCGGAGGAAATCCGGAGACATATGCCCAAGTGGATTCCAGCCACTAAAGCAGAGGTCGAGGCGCTTGAGGGAATGTCAGCAATCAGGCGTTTGACCGGCGATGAAGCCAGATGTGCCCTAGCTCAACGAGATGTTCAGGTGTTGCCGGCGAAAACTGTATTCACTGTGAAACCGGGAGCTGATTCCTGGTATCGAAGAAAATGCAGGGTAGTGGGTTGTGGAAACTTTGAAGAAAAGGACCCCAGCCTAGAACTCTATGCCAGCGGTGTGCCGGCGAAAGCCCTTAGAACAGTGCTAGTAGAGGCATCCTTTCGTCAGTTCTTGGCCTTTATCACCGATATTAAAAACGCTTTCCTGCTGGCGCCATTGCCCAAGGAAATGATTGGTAAGATTTTGTTAAGGCCTCCTAAGTTGCTTGAGCAGATGGGAATCACACAACCGGGCGAATACTGGGAAGTGTGTAAGGCAGTCTACGGCCTTCGCCAAAGCCCGCGCTGGTGGAGCGAATTTAGAGACGCTATGCTTCGCGATGCAAAGTGGCAAGGAGCAACGGGTGTGACCCGACTGGTGCAGTCGCGTGCAGAGAGTAATGTCTGGAAGATGCTTAATGAGGAAGGTAAGGTTGTGGGATTTGTCATCATCTACGTGGACGACATGATGTTTCTCACAACAAAGGCTGAGGCGGACCTTGCTCATGAGTGGCTCAGAAGCGTCTGGCAGTGCACTCCGTTAGAGGAGGCCACCGAGCACGCCTCGGTAACCTTCCTTGGGGTTGAAGTTGGTATTGGCTACGATAGCTCTGGGAGACGCGGGTTTCTTCTTGGACAAAAGGGGTATATTGATGAGCTCCTGAGAATGTACGAGATAATCCCTAAGCATCGCACCCCAGTTCCCAGAGATTGGGTTAGGGAAGCCCCAGATTTAGAAGAAGGGTTTAGTCCTGAGACCCTCCGCCGAGCACAGCGCATCACAGGAGAACTGTTGTGGCTGACCCAACGTACCCGGGTAGACGCAGCTTACGCCGTATCGCTGATGAGTTCATGGTGTACTAAGTCTCCGGAGTTTGTTGTGCGTTTGGGGACGAGGCTGCTGCATTACCTGGGCTCGACAAAGGAGTTGAGGCTCTCCCTAATACCCGTCTGTGGTGAAAACCGAGTTGTGATTTACACGGACGCTTCCTTCGCACCCTACGGTTCCCATAGTGTGTCGGGAATTTTGGTGGTTTTCCGTGGACGCTCCGTTTCGTGGAAGGCAAAGAAGCAAGCGGTGGTTTCCTTGTCAACGGCTGAGTCAGAGTTGATTGCCGGGTGTGAAGGCGTTGTGATGGGCCAGAGCATTGAGGCATTGATAGTTGAAATCACCGACAACTTAAATACTAAGTTGTTGTTGGTTGATAATTTAGCTGCAATTGCGTTGGCCGAGGGCTCTGGCACTCAAAGGACGAGACACCTTCGCGTAAGGGCCAATTTTGTAAGGGACCAGGTTGAGAATAAAGAACTTGAGGTCGAGCACTGCCCGGGAGAGGTTCAACTTGCAGACCTATTGACAAAGATCCTCCCGGGCCCCAGGCATCATGCTTTGTCAGGGTTGGTGGGATTGTGCAGCGACTTAGAACGAGCACAGGTGTCACAGGTCCTGGGAACAGGTGACAACGCCTTGACTGGGTTCTCAAGGGACAATAGGATTAAGTTGGTCCTGTTAGTCCTGGTTTGTCAGATGATTGAATCTGAGGCCGCTGATGAGGACGCTGAGGTTGAACCGTTGAGCCTGGAACTATCGGTTGTGGCACTGATGCTGATGTTATCGGTTTTGTTTGTATGGGAAACAGGGAAGTACTGCTTTGGTAGGTGTTGCAGATTCCAGGGTCCAAGCGTTAGGGCTTTGAGGGCCGAGGACGCTGATGTCAATGCCCAAATGTCCAGACGACAAAGAAGACAGGAAGCTATCAGGAGAGCTATTGAGCAGGAGACTGAGGTTGAAGGATTATGGAGGCGCAGAGGCGAGGATGTTCAGGTTGATAATTTTACGCCTCCTGTTGTTCAAGTGAACGTCGGGAATCGATGGATTTCGGAACCCGAACCTCCCATTCCAAGGTTTGCCGAGGTAAGGCGCATAGGTGACGATGAGCAGGTTGCCAATGTGAACAGTAATCTGGCAGATGTCCAGAGCTTCCCTGTTCCTTCGTCTATCCATCCTGGACTTGGAGATTCCTCTACCCCAGTTGATCCAGCTTCTTCGTCCTCCCATGCTGGTCATGGAGTACCTGCAACCCCAATTGATCCAGCTGCACTGCCTTCGATCCACAGTGGATTTGGAATTTCCTCCTACCAGGTTGATCCAGGTGCTTCTTCCTCTGCTCCTAGTGGAACTAGAAGTCTTCATAGGGAGATTGGTACCCAGACGGATTTTCCACCTGGTCTCACCCACATGCAGATGAGGGATATACAGATGATCACTACCAGCAGTAGGACCCCAGGAGCGGTCCACTTGTTTCCTGAATGTCAGGCATTGCGGGGTACCTCCAGTCTTAACCGAAGAATGTTTTGTCGTTATTGTCTTACCGCTGCCGAACGTTCAGGAACATGAGTAGTGAAAGTTCTCTCACTGAGACTTTCAAGGAGGAGTGTTGAGTTCCCGAACTGTGTTCTGTGTACGGTTTGGTTGAAGCTCCATGTCCTTTGAATTAAGCCATGACGGCTCGACTTAGGACTGAGTCCAAGTATATGCATGAGCATAGCTAAACGCAGATGAAGAATGTAGCAACGCCCAAAGGGTAGAGCGCACTTTGACTGTCGTTTGAGCGAAGTAAAAACAGGCTGTAAGCCCATGGTCGCATGTGCCTCTGAGCGGGATCGTTGAGACCCCTTGGAACTATCAGAAGATCTACCATGGCATCCTCTATGGACAATCCCAATTCGCAAGATCGACCAAGTGTCGATCAACAAACCCTTATAGATCCCTTTAAGGAACCCTTAAAGGATCCCTTTAAAGGTACCCCTAATCTTCAGAAACTCCCATGTCCAGCTCCTCCTCGGAGAAGAGACGCTGCAGCACAGGCGAGCAAGGGTCCGCCAGGACGGGAGCTGGTTTAGGACTGACGGGGCTGTGTCTAGCCTGGAAAGGTCCCTAGCTCATGGTTGGGATAGGATTAAAAACGTACATGTTTATTCCTTATCGGGTTTAAGTACCCATAAAAACTGTAAAATGTTACCCAACTATGACAAAGGTCCTAACTATATGTTCATGCTCGGTAGTAAACATAATAGCAATCCATGATCGACCGACCCATGTAATTATCTATCTATCTACCTACCTATCTATCCGTCTGCCCGTCTGTCTATCTATCTACCGAATCACTTCTATGCATAAGCCCTGAAGATAGCCGCTGGGGCACAGGCAGGCACGGGCCAACTGTCGTCCTTCGTCCCTTCGGAGGGTTTGGAGCTACTGTAAAAACCAGGGTCTTCTTTAAAGGGTTGCACAAAGGCTACTTAATGCCTGGAGGTCTGAATCAGGGAGAATCTAGATAATGTAAGGAGTCAATCTTAGAAACCAGTATTTCGGAGTTCAGAATGTGCGAATCGAACAGAATCTGGGGATTCGGATTTTGCATTTGGTGTTTTGGATTCAGGGTCTAGCGGTGTGCAGCTATTGGCTTTGAGGTTTATCTCTCGGTTTTTGGGATGTTCACGGAGTATATGCTTCACATTAGAGGCATGTTGGGAGGGGGGTTGCGCGAAAAGCTGATAATGCTTCGTTTCAAAAGCCTTCTGAGGGTTCGCAGCAGGGATTTAAGGATTTCTGCTGGTGGATACAGGAATTGTCCCCGGATCTATACTACAATCCAGAGACCTAGATTTGGGGCCTAAGGGCGTGTTTTTTGAGGGAGGTTCAGGGCGTAGGACTCCAATCGAGGCGGTAAGTTCAGACTCGGGAGCCACCAAAATCGGGAAGCTCCGCCCCAAGATAGGGTTTAGGGTTTTGGGGTTTAGGGTTTAGGGGAGCTCTTTTTTAAGTTGGGATAGGGCTCAACCAACAAAGGGGACCCTAAACCCCAAACCGTCACAGGAATCCTTAAGCGGAATGCTCATCCGCCTGAGTCTCTAAAGGACCGGCCTTGATCCAGGGAGGTGGCGCTTCGAGCGCGCGAGAGCGCGCTCATCTGCGCCTGGAGGCTTCTGGCCGCGGCTCTCTGAGGTGCTTTGAAGGGATGCTTCAAGGGGTGGCTGTGAAGGCTCCTGTAAGGGTTGCTTTCTTGCGGGTTACTAGGCGGGTTCTAGAATTTTGACAGGCTTGGTTTACGGTTCTCGAGGTAGGGCCTCAGAAGCATCAGGCACTCCGAGATCGCAGGCCCATAGACGTATGTAAACACGGACTTGCGTCTGGGGCTGCCCTGATTGCTCACATGCGTGACGTGGCAGCTGCGGCATTGCCTGCTGCATTGACTCACGGATGCAGAGTTGCATCCAGAAATACCGCCGCAACCCATCTGCAAATGTCTGGCATCCTGGCAAGTGAGGCCGGCTCTGCACCTTGTCCGCCTGCGGCGGCCAAGTTGCCGGCTTCTGCTATTGCCACAAGTAGTACACAAAGCCGTGACTTTCAGCCTGAGACCTCGGAACCGTTCGGTTCAAGGACACAAGCTCCTCTGGAGAGTGATCCCACGTCGGACCTTCAAAGAGCTGAACATACCTGAGGTGTCCGATTTCGGAACAATTACATTGGGCGACATGTTCTGCTACACTTCAGCATGTGCAAGATGGAGCACAGGCGAGTCATTGTCGCCGATATTCCAGTGCGAAGTAGGAGACGGACTATGAATTTTCCCGGGAACTCGAGAATACCTCGCGGTGCATCCTAAGCTCCTTGTCGGGCAGCCTGCGGCGCCATGCCGTGTGGGCTTTAGGGATCAGTGTGTAGGGTTGTGGATGTTGATGCCAAAGGCCCGAGGTGAACCAACGACAGCGTGCCTCAGAGAACAACAAACTCTACATAAGACTCGAAACTCTCGACCACAAACCCCGAACTCAGAAGCCCAACCCCTGTCTAAATTCTACAAACCCTAAGCCCTAAACCCCTTTGAATGTTCATACAAGAACCCCTATAGTAACCCTTATACGCAGGAACCCTTTAAGGTTAAACACCCCGACCCCCCGAAAGAACCCACTGGGCTTTGGGCACTCTTAGGGCGCTTCAGGCTCGTGTTGAGCCCGGTGTTCACCTCGACCTGGGGAAGGGCTTGGCGGGTTTCGTAGGGTTTCCGAAGGAGGAAACTAGAAAGGGTGCTACAAGGGTACCAGGGCTTCGTTCATATGAGCTTTATGCTTGAGGTTACAAGTACCCTGGGTCGGGTTATCTGCCCAGTGCTGCCTCACTGATACGCTGAAGTGTCCAGGGTGTACGATAAGACACAAACTGTCAATCAGCAAGTCGTTGTGGCCAAAAATGGTGTCAGACATTCGGGTGCCCGGCTTGAGAAAGATGCAATACCATAGGCTGCCGCTTTTGTTGCTTCTGAGGATTTGTGGCTTTGACTTGGTGGCGGGTCTTAAGAGTTAAAGCTTGGGCTTCAGAGTGTATAGGCTTTGCAGGCTTCGCAGTTTCGGGGGGCTTTAGCAGCGTGGCAAGGCCTAGTGAGATCGAAGCAGGTTCCTACACTAACTTCGGCGGAGAGTGGTTAGTTACCAGTTCTGTAGCTTCCATCAACTTCCTTGCTCCATACAAAGGCGATGGTGGTTTCAGTCGATGACAGCTGGCTTTTCAACAAACCGGTTAAAGGCAAACGACAATGCTTCTGAAATCCTGAACCCCCCCTCGCGGCCGCGCAGGCCAGCCATAATTCGTGCCCCTGCAACGGACAAACCTAAACTTTCTAAATCACTGCAACAGGCTTGCAAACCTCAAGAAATAAGCCAGCCGCGAACCCATCAAAACTTGGACACATAACAGCGGATGTGAATTTGTAGCTCTGTGAATGACGGCTCCTGTTCGGATCTTGGCCAAGGAGTTGGGAGCTCCCTTCGGAGGACCCAAGAACCACACTTTAGAAAGGCACCCAACTTAATCAGCGCAGCATGGCAGGCGTAAGAACATAGACTAAACTAAACCCCAGAGACCCCGAATATAAACACAAAAACTCTGCGCTCAGTGAGTCTATCCTATCCTCTGCATTGACATTCTTGGGGCACCAGCGAACGGCTTCCTTGGAGCAGTTCGCTTGGCGAAGAGCTCCTCGAAGCCGTTGGGTTCGGCTTTCGGGTTTCAAGCCCGTGGGGTTTTAGGGTCAGGGCTTTTACGTTTTAGGGTTTAAGGGCTCGATGAGTTTAGGGTTTTGTAGGTTTAGTGCTTGGGGCTGGGGGTCTGGGGGGTTCAGGTCTTGCGTTTAGGGTTTGGGCCCTGGGGTACCCTCAGGGTCCGTGTACCTCCAAGCGTTTCTGTGAGGGTTCCTTCTGAGGTTTCTATCAAGGTCCGTTTATGGGCCCTTTCAAAAGCCTCTGTCGGGGTCTTACAAGGTTTTCTACAGTCTTTTGGCTGTGGTGACTTAGGACTATAGTCAGCAGCAGGGTTTCGGTTAAAGGGCTAGAAACCTTTTAAGGTTAGATTTTCGCCCGTCTACACCTGTTCGGGTTTTCGATTGTTTTTTGCAGCTCGTGCATTGTAAATGGGTTCAGGATAATTACGGGGCTGGTGTCGAGCGCGGATCCTGAATCCCAATATCTCAAAGGTTGTTCGAGAGGGCTTTCTGCAACTATCCTCAGAAAGAAGCGTGATCCCTCCCTCTACCATGACCTGCTTTACAGCAGCGCCGTAACCAACCCGGACTATAATTCATGTTTATTCTTGTATTCTGCACCACGAACCCAGCCCCGGCATCAGCTGCATTCACGAAGGTCGAAGGGTTAGCAGGTAGATTCTGGCCAGCGCCCCGAAGACAAACCCCTCAGCCGTTACACAAGAGCAATTTCGGGCTCTAGCAGACTTAGGTTTCGGGATGAGGGTCTATTGCGTGTAAGGTCAATCACCGAAAACTTTCAGCCTAACACGTACCAAGCTACGAACCGTAAACCCTAAACAGCATAAACCCTATACTTGCTGGATCAGACACCTCACCGAGGAATGCAGGAAAGAATACCGTAACACAGTCGAGGCAAATCTGCGAGATCATGCCGCAATACACTCTCTTTTGTGCTGATGTACAGACACATGTCTGATACACGTATGCATTGATCTAGATGTGTAAACATGTATACATACATACATACATACATACATACATACATACATACATACATACATGCATGCATGCATGCATGCATGTGTGTGTATGTATATATATATATATATATATATATATATGTATAACGGTATATACAGCTATATACACACATATGCATATGCATGTGGAGCTATAGCTGTATCTGTCAGAGCAACTCAAGCCGTTGTATCCACTGAGCGCAGGGCCACGGGATCGTTGCGCAGCATGCTCCTTCCGAGGGGTCAGGGGTCAGGGCTTCGACATCGGATGATCTTTGGAGCGGAAGGATGTGAAAGCTCTTGCATGCCTCGTTGATGACATTTCACACCAA